TGAGTGTCTCTCTCTCTCTCTCTCTCTCTCTCTCTCTCTCTCTCTCTCTCTCTCTCTCTCTCTCTCTCTCTCTTTCTTTCTTTCTCTCTCTCTTTCTCTCTCTCTATCCCCACCCCCCCGACTCCCACCACCGCAGTCTTCCTTGAAGTCTGTGCAATCGAATTTGTGAGTGTCTCTCTCTCTCTCTCTCTCTCTCTCTCTCTCTCTCTCTCTCTCTCTCTCTTTCTATCCCCCCCCCCCCCCCCGACTCCCACCACCGCAGTGTTCCTTGAAGTCTGTGCAATCGAATTTGTGAGTGGAGTCCCTTAGAGGATTCTCAGCTGTTACTGGTGCCTGTTCATACTGGTCTTTCTTTCTTTCTTTCTTTCTTTCTTTCTTTCTTTCTTTCTTTCTTTCTTTCTTTCTTTCTTTCTTTCTTTCTTTCTTTCTTTCTTTCTTTCTTTCTTTCTTTCTTTCTTTCTTTCTTTCTTTCTTTCTTTTCTTTCTTTCTTTCTTTCTTTCTTTCTTCTTTCTTTCTTTCTTTCTATCTTCTATCTATCTATCTATCTATCTATCTATCTATCTATCTATCTATCTATCTATCTATCTATCTATCTATCTCTATCTATCTATCTATCTATCTATCTATCTATCTATCTATCTATCTATCTATCTATCTATCTATCTATCTATCTATCTATCTATCTATCTATCTATCTATCTATCTATCTATCTATCTATCTATCTATCTATCTATCTATCTATCTATCTATCTATCTATCTATCTATCTATCTATCTATCTATCTAATCTGTCTGTCTGCCTGTCTGCCTGCCTGTCTGCCTGCCTGCCTGCCTGTCTGTCTGTCTGTCTGTCTGTCTGTCTGTCTGTCTGTCTGTCTGTCTGTCTGTCTGTCTGTCTGTCTGTCTGTCTATCTTTCTGTCTGTCTGTCTGTCTGTCTGTCTGTCTGTCTGTCCGTCCGTCCGTCCGTCGCCGACGTGATGCTGACCATATCACCCACCAAGTGCTGTTTGTTTTTAAAATATAGGTCTAGCTCTGTATGCCCAATGTGCCTAAAGGCGTGGAAAAGGGCCCTTTACTTACATTTACATGTACAGATTAACAATATATTTATACATTGTTTTTTTTCTTGCCTGCCAGATTTTGTCTCTTGTACTTGCTACTGGCTGTTTGGCAGTTACTATTCAAGAAGTTGTCACCCCTCTAGCGTCGTCGTCGCCGTCGCCTCAGCCTTCCTCTAACGAGGACTTGTTTGACGTAACAACGACTGCTCATCTTGTGGCCAGAATTATCGAAATCTTGTGTTATGTAAGTGGTTATGTTATTTGTTAGGTTTTGTTACGTAATTTGTTTTGCTATACAAGCAGAGTATCTAACAACGATTGTTTGAAAGAAGCTAATAAAAGTAGATCTCTATATACAACAATAAAGAAAGTTACATACACTGTACTTTGGCCACATAATGAGAAGAGAGACATTAAAGAACATCGTGACAACTGAAAAGATCAGTGGAAAAGGGGTAGAGGCAGACCAAGATAGATGATGGGCTGAAACGATGGCATGGATGGATATCATCAAGAGAGCTGTTCCAGGCAACCAGGGATCGTGATCTGTGGAGACGCATGAGCGCCCACGTCAGTTGGCAGGGCACATGATAATGATTATAATATAAGCAGTTTCGTTAGTTCATTTGTTATAGTATGTTAGTATGTGTAAGTAGTAATGTTATGTAAGTATAATGTTATGCTACGTAAGGTGTTATATTATGCAAGCAGTTATTGTTACGTATTTTGTTGTTATGTTTTTAGGTAGTTAAGTGTTACGTAATTAGTTATGATACGTTATGTTAATTAATTTGTTTATGTTATCTAAAAGTTATTTTACGCGATTTATTATTTAAGCAGTTTTGTTACGTAATTTGTTTTGTTATGTCTGCAGTTAGGTTACGTAATTTGTTGTCTTGTTATGTAAGTTAGGTTATTTTACGTCACGTAATATGTTATATAAGCAGTTATACAACTTAATTTGTTATGCTATACTATGTAAGTAATAGTATGTAATTTCTAGGTTATATTAAGTTACGGAATTTGCTATGTTATGCAAGGAGTTATTTTACTCAATGTGTTATGTTATGTTAGTAGTTATGTTAATTAATATGTTAGATTATGTAAGTGAATGAGCGAAGTTTAAACCCCATTAGGACCAAACAATGAGCGATTAGCACCATCTGACCCAAAGTGCTACTGTTCGGATGAAAATCCCCCAGGCGAAGTCTCAGAAACACCATACGACTATAAGATTACATTAGGGTTCCCGACGGTTGCCATCTCCGTGCGAGTTTAGAGGAAAATAGAATAGACGCATTGTCCCTCTAACAAGCATGACGTAAGAGGCGACTAAGTAGGAGTATGCTGAATAGGAAATTTTAGGGCAACAGATATCGAAGCTAAGCTGTAACCCACAACGCAACATACTAACTGCTCTATTAAAAGCGCGAACGCAGAAGAATATGATGGGTGACCAGGCAAACTGTGGTCAATGTCTTTTGAGGAGGGGTGCAAAATGCCGAGGCATAAATTAATCATCACGGTAAGTCCCTGATGACAAAAGTGTGAACAGGAGATTAGGCGGACAAGGTAATTCCACTGACTGTTCCCATGAGAAATCAATTATAGTGTTTCCTGTCTTGGCCTTGAAGACAGCACAAATATGACTGACTGGCTGACTGACTTTCTACCTCACTAGGACATCACACAAGCGATAAACACCCGATGACACTAAGTGCCACTATGTGGATGAGGATCGCCGTGGAGAGGTCCCAGAAACCGCGTTCAGACAATTGGCCATATTTATGACCTGCCTATATTGCGGCCCCTGGCAAAAGCCAGGGTGGGGCTTCAAAAAACAAAAAAGTTCGTCCTAAAAAGGACGAAACACGCAGTATTATTAAGCATAGATGTGTTTTACTAAGCCTCACAGCCAAGAAAGTGAATTAGTTATTTAGAACACAAAACTAATAAATATGTCAGAGACAAAATATATAAACTGTAGGGGCATCAGGAGCCTCTCTTGGCAGTGGTGAAACGTCACAAGCTAGCTTGGTTTGTGCACGTGGTGAGACATGATTCGATTGCAAAGACCGTACTTCAAGAAATATTGGTGGGGAGGGGGTCGAAGAAGAGGAGGGCAAAGAAGAAACTGGAATGACAACAGCAAGAAATAGACAGGACTAAGTTATCATACACTTATTTATCAAGCAGAAGACAGACAAAGATGGCGGGTTTTTTGGACCAGTGCTTCAATCAAAACACCTTCATGACCCTAATGGGTCAAGGGTTATGTTATGTTAATCATAGACGAAAATTTTTCGCTACCTCCAACGATCTCTATGAATTCTGAATCCGCAGGTCAGCGATTAGCTTCGCCACAACGGAACCCAACTGAAGTCTAATCCCACAAAAAAAATATTCTTTTCTGTTAGAAAATATTGCAGTAAATAATTTACAACTTCTTACCTTTCTTATTTAACTGAATGATCAGCCATTGTTACGTTTTTCTATTCTAAACACAGATTCTGACCGCCATCTTGGTCCAACTTGAAAAACGGGCCTGTGTCGTCACTTCCGGAGTGCTCTTCATCTATTGGCTGTTACAAATCACGTGCCTTTTGGTGCCACTGTACACATACATCTTGCTTCAGGTAAGTGGGTCACGATCTGGTTGGCATAGCAACGTAAAGTTGGAAGAAAAGACAAATGGGTCCTTTTCAGACTTTTATTTTCAGAGAACTCTGTAATCTTGACTACGGTCAATATAGCGGTTATGCTGGTTAGCTGCCTTTAGTCATGGTCTGTTTTCCTTGAAAAAGCGAGCCGCTGCATTTTTCTTAACGTATAGATTAAAAGGATAACGTTCCGTTGCCCAGCTGCTGATTTAAATGCATGGTGCGACACTGTGAACTGCGGATTTCATTCGAAATGCTTTTAGACTGTGTCCAGCGGCTAGTAGCTTGCTGCAAAGAACTACTGATGCCCTATGCAATCAATTACATGTGCAACTACTGATCTGTTGTGACTCATGCTTCCCTCCACGATGAACTGCATTTCTCGTGTCAGGCTGTTTGTGTATTTAATTCGTGTACTTAGAATTTTGAGAGCATGCATCTTCCCTGTAGCAAAATACGGATGTGAGTGGTGGACTATCTCTCAGTCCTAAAGAAAGAGAATGGGGTCTTTTGAGCTGAAATTCTTTAGAAAGATTCTTAGAATATCTTGGACAAAGAAGAGGAGAAATACTTGAAAGATCTGAACATCAAGGAAGATTGGCTAATAAAGAGCATCCTGTCTCGGAAACTGAAATATTTTGGTCATATGAAGCGCGACCACGGATTGGAAAAAAAATAATCGCAGAAGGGATAGCACCAGGAGGGAGAGACAAAAGCCGAGCAATACGAAGATGGGCACAGGATATAAGTGACACACTGAATATGAAAAGTACATGAGGCGGGAGAGCTGGCGAGAGACCGAGTTTCGTTTAGGCAGACATTGATGAATGCGACGTTCTGCAAAGGACCTGCTACACGTTGATGATATGCTTTTAGCTTTGGATGCTGCAGTCAGTGTCAATTTTCATAACAAAGGACAGTGGTGGTCATTCTGTGTGCTTGTCGTTGCCACAGGAGCGGATAGCTTGGAGAGAATAAGGCACCTGGATGTAACCAGAGGCTCTGGCCGGCTCACTACACTCAGAGGAAAGACAAGACGGACATATACCCAGATTGTGACCGGTACCATTAGTATTGGAACTCTGAGCTGGCTGCTGAAGATGGGGGACTGAGCATGCATGGGAATGCCCCAGAGTGCTGTGATGTCAATTCTTGACTCAACTCAACTTAACAACTCAGATGAGGTATGAGGTGACCGTTTCCTGTGAAGTCAGAATTACGATTGTTTGATTTTTGTATTCAAGATACTCATGTAACGGACATATACGTTCATTGCTTTTAATGCACCAAAGCGTTTTTCCCCACACGGAATAAACAAAAAAATATATTACCCAGGGGGTGCTGAATGTCTCGACAAGCGGAACAAACAAGGTCTAATGTTATCACCATATGTGACAATACTGACAGGTAGCAGCGTTAGAATAGATAGTAGCAGTTTTTTTATGTTTGAGTTAATCTTGAATTTATGCATTTATATTATGATTACGTGTTTGCGTGTGTCTTGAAGTTTTTTTTTTTTTTAAATAGCGGGAGGAAAAAAAAAAGGGGGGGGGGGGGTTTTCTATGGGGAAGGAGGTCTCTCTGCGTTTGGCTGCATTACTGATGAACTTCAAATGAAAACCGTAAATGTATAACAGAAGAGAGTCCAGAGAGTTAGGCACGCGACATTACGGAGCCGACGAATAAAGTGACGTCATAATGACTGTTTAGAGATGGCTGTTCCACTACTGTTTTGCACCAAAAAGAAGCTGCGTTCTGCTACTTGTTTATCGATCAGCGAAGGGATGAAATCTGTAGACATTCATCGGTGACCGAAGGTTTAGTATGTTGATGTTTGTCTGTCAGCCCAACAAGTGCACGAGGAAAGCAGGCTACAAGATGGTGGCCGGGTTATTGTACATTCTATCACAAATTCAAGGTTCCCGTTTGAAACTCCCTCGTACTACTACTACTACTACTACTACTACTACTACTACTACTACTACTACTACTACTACTACTACTACTACTACTACTACTACTACTACTACTAATACTACTACTACTACTGCTGCTGCTGTTGCTGTTGTTGCTGATGTGATGCACCATGCACTCTTCTTTAACTTTTTTTCTTCCTAATCTTCTTCTTCTTCTTCTTCTTCTTCTTCTTCTTCTTCTTCTTCTTCTTCTTCTTCTTCTTCTTCTTCTTCTTCTTCTTCTTCTTCTTCTTCTTCTTCTTCTTCTTCTTCTTCTCTTTCTCCTCCATTTCCCTCACATTCTTAACTACTTATCTTCTTCTCCTTTTAATATCAATATGGAGCACTGATCATTACCCACGTCCTGTGAGACTTGATAATTATTTCTGAGACCTTACAGTTTTCCATGCCTCTATAGTGAGCAGTCCAAGTCAGCTCTAAGGATAAACGGAACCACCATATTGGATGGGGGATTCCCAGTCAAAATGGCCGACAGCCGGCGTACAATCTTAAAATATTGTTTTCCTTCCACGTGTGGGTTCACAGACCCCATTGTGAAAAACAAGAATAGACCTACTGACTCTCCATCAAGCATGTAGTCGGAGTCAACTAACTGAGAGCTGTCCTTGAAGTCGGAGTGTATCTGGCCGCGCGGCAAGAAACACGAACTACTATGGACGAACTACCCGGACTTTCTGCCGGAGCTGACAGCTAGAAAACAAAGAAGAAGAAGAAGAACGGTTTTACTGATTCATACTCCCCATTTCCAAATATTCTGGTGCTCAGCTAATAAACTGAGTGTTTGGTGCGACACTGTGAAATATGGATTACACGGGGACTGCTTTCCGCCCCGTTGTTGACTGCACTATAATGGCGTGTGGTCAGTGACGTTCAGAATGGCGTGGCCTTTTGCCGCGTCAATGCTGACTTTCGTCATTGACCGTTTGCGCCAAAAGTAAGCTGCAGTTCTGGTGTGAGACTGTTAGTGTCGGCACATTTAGCAGCTGCCCTATGCATTTTTGCTTTGAACGTGCAAGCTTTAATATTTCGCTGGGACTGAAAGTTATCCACTGTTTTTTTTTTTTTTTAATGGAACATTGTAGAACATCTTGTGTGATTTTATTTGGCAGAAGAACAACAGTTTTCGCGAGACCTGTCTTCGTTAATTTTAAAACCCTCACTAATGAATAACGGCTAATCATATCCACTATCCTCATGACACTGATCAATCAAGTGCCGTCTCCACAATGAAGGATGGCTGTAATGGGACTTCAACATGCTCTGGTATTGGCTGTAAACTCTCTCAGACTGCTGTTTGTCCATCTCTTGATGTTGTCCTCTCACTTGTATCGCTCGCTACCTCTTATAACTAAATTACGATATTTCTTCTGCAGGTTTTCACAACAGATATACTCCGGGTCACAGTGTGTGTCATCAAATTCAGCATTGTCATCGCCCAGTTCCTGGTCACCTGCTTCGCCGATGTCCAGCTGTACTCTTGTAACAGATACATACCCGTGGTAAGTGACCCGTCCGTCCTTCCAGACGACAGTCTTCTACTTGGAGTTGACCAGTTGTAAAGTCTGGTGGAATATTAAAGAATATACTTCGTATACTTATTTTCTTTAGTCTTGTTCCAGATCTCAAGTTTTGAGTACACATCTGTTTTACAGATCTGGCTTATTTGTAAACAGACTGTTGGTTCCTCGCCTCTCAGACAGATGCACTCCGACTCCGAAGAAAGCTCTCACACTCACCAATTAGTAGACTGTTAAGACATGCTTGTTAGGAGGGCCAGCCTCTGTGGCTTAGGTATTGCGAACGCGCTTCGTAATGCCGGGGTGCTGGGTTCAATCCCAGCTGCGGAAGATGTGTCTTGCATTGGTTTCAACAGTGGTACCGAGAGGTGACCGTTTAGGAGCTATGGCAAACTACTTGATATAAATTTGCCTAGAAAAACCACAACAGCCGAAACATGCTGTGGTTGGTTCTGCAACGTCCTGTAAGTGGACGCAACTACTTTTAGTAGGAGGCCACTGGGTGTATTCCCCCTTCACCCAACTGGGATTCATAACCCATTCAACTAGGACCCATAACCCACCTGGGTTCCATAGCCCACACAGGGAGAGAAAATAGTGTTCTCCGTGCAGGCAGTGTTAGTACATTCCTTGGCGATATAAAACAACAACAGTCAGAGATGAAGTTCTTTCTCTCCATAGCAGAACAATAGTTGTAACATAGACTAGCCCGTGTCACAGGTCAGAAAGCATGAATGAAAGTCAAGTTAAGCTTTATTTGGACTGAACATCGTAACAACTTCCAATACATCTATTCCTTTTTCACAGAATGAGTGCCCTGAAGTGACCGCTTCTTTTATTTCCAAATTAACCTTTTCCTGGATGACACGGTAGGTAGACAAACATTTTTAATTGTTTTGTCAAGTTTTGGTCTAACTGTATTGTTTTGTCTGTATTTACGTTTCACTGTTCCATATGTTGTTTATGCTGTTCGTTCGCGTGGTCTTGTATCTAAAACAACTGCCAAAACTGCTATTACTGCCTTTGCATTACTTTTGAGGTATAGGCGGGGTTGGGGGGGGGGGGGGGTCTTTTAGCCTGAGGATTTAAGACCACATGGCTAGTGCTGTCGCCACGAACTGTGCAGGTTAGGATTCTATTTTCGCCTTCTGAAGAAGACTTACCAAGGATTGCACACTGTAGGGAGTCAACCATACAGGAGTGCAAGGCAATGAAAGAGCAGATTATTTTGGTGCTACAAAAGCTAAAGCTACTGTAATACTTGTGCTGGACACAGTAGATACCATAAAGACCAGGCGGGCTGCATACTCTCGAGGCAGGTGTCCGCCTCGAGTGCTAGAGGTTCCGGGTTCAACCTCCGGTAGCGGCTGGGATTTTTTTCACCTGGACTTAGTAAATTCCGGTGGTCTCTAGTGAGATCGGACGCCCGTGTGTATTTTTGCGCATGTAAAAAAAAAAATCCCTTGGCAGTTAGAAATAAAAAAAAGTAGCCTAACGGCTCTGCCCGGGAATTATTTGGAGTTAAAGATCCACCCACAGTTTTTCAGGATCCTCGCCGGTGCTACAGAGCCTGTGCACTGTGCTGAGCTTCTTCGGACTCAGACTTGACTTTAAAGAAGAACGGAGCAATTATGGGATACTACCCGTTTGCCATGATGTTGGTCCGTTGTTTAAACCTCAAACCCTAGAGACCATTATTACCGAATGCCAACAGAAGGAAAACAAGAGCTTAGATGAAAACGTATGTCTAAGAATGTGTCATCGTGGAATTAGGAGGTGGATTTGATAGAGAAGAACGCACCAGAAAAAGAGAACGCCGTGTGTATAATCAGTGTTCTATGGGAAGAGTTAGTATCTGCACATTAAACATTTCCTGAAGGAGACGGAGCACCTACAGGTATGCACGGTGTGCTACGATGTCGATTCTTCAATCAGTCTTCTTCTTTTGTCAAAATCTGCTTGTGCCGCTAGGCGTCGCAGTCTATCAGATGATCGGCAACCGAGCCAGGGCGCGCTCAGTCGCTTCATATGCCGTGATGTTATGAAGTCTCAAGTTGTCCGTGACTCCTTCAATCCATCTTCTTCTTGGTCTTCCCCTGCCTCTTGGTGTTTCGATTTTCATGTTGTATGCTCTTGATGCTGGCATCGTTGGTTCCATTCTCATTAGGTGACCAAACCATTTCATTCTTTGCTTCTCAATAAATTTAACGATGGGTATGGTTCCAATAGTTCTTGTAATCACATCGTTTCTCACTCGATCTCTTCTGGTTTTATTCACAGCCATTCTCAAACATCTCATTTCACAGGTGGTTAGTCTTCTCTCATGTTCTTTTGTTAATGTCCAAGTCTGACATTGATAACCTAATGTCGGTATAAAGATTGTATTTATAATTTGTCTTTTTATCTCAGCTGGGACAGCAGGGTGTTTTAAAAATGGGGCTTCAATCAGTAATCTTTATTATACAATGAGTACCGTCCCCTTTTTCTAGGCGGGAAAAACTGAGCCCAAAATTCAGAGCGGTCCAGGTAACCATCAAAAGCGGTTACGTTCACGTTATTCTCCCCAAATAGAGTAGGTCACATTTCATTCCCTTGATTGTTGTGCTGGTCAACTTTCCTGAAGGTTACGGGTGTGTCCCGCTCTGTTATTTGGTTTCTGTGATGTCTTGCATTTACGTTTCATTCTGAGAAAGAGAATGACTGTGACATAGGTTGCAGCACTCTATAGGGGGTTGTGTTAGAGCCATTTGGGAGTCAGTTTATATTTGTGTACGCTTTGTTTTTATTTCTTGTCGTTCAGTCAGCCAGTAGCATGTCTTTTGCAGAACCTTGCACCCATAACAACCCTCCGGAAAACTTTCTCGATCACAAGCAAGATGTCCCGCGCCCAATATACCCATTTAGAGATCATTCGCCACATTCTGCACGCATCTTCTCTTTGGCTTTTCTCTTCCTCTTTTCCCGGGCATATACCCTTCCATTATTGTTCTCTCTAAACTTTCGTAACATTTCAAGTGACCAAAATACTTGACTTTTCTGTGTTTGATAGTCTTAAATAGCCAACTTTCTTCAATATTCAGTTCTTGAAGTATACTTGAAGTATTCTTAAAGTTCTTGTCGTTACCTCGCTGATGAAGGCTATTCGTCGCATCGTCATCTGTGTGTTCATTGTACTTGGTTTTGTAAAAGCTCGCATATACTTTTTGTTCTTCTTACCCTTTTCTACCTCTTCTCATTCTTACATTTTCTCATATTTTTGTTTTGTTTTGTTTGTTTGACCCCGTTTAAAATTTACATATTCATCATCCACAGGTTAATGATCACTGGATACAGACGACCTCTAGTGGCAGATGACCTCTGGCCTTTGAACCCTCGTGACACCAGCGAGAACGCGATTGGTCGTTTCTCTTGGGCCTGGCGATTCTACAACAAAAGGAGAGGGTGAGGGTTCCTGATTGAAGGATTGAAAGGGTTAAATGAAAGATTGTGAGGATTGGATGAAGGATTGTGAGGATTGAATAAAGGATTGTGAGGACTGGATGAAGGATTGTGAGGATTGGCTGAAGGATTGCAATGATTAGATGGAGGACTGTAAGGATTGAGTGGAGGAAAGTGAGGATTGTGTAAACGATTGCGAGGAATGGAAAAAAAAGTTGTGAGAACTGGATAAATGATTGCAAGGATTGGATGAACGATTTTCAGGATTGGTTGAAGGATTGCAAGGACCAATTGAAGGATTGCGAGGCTGGATAAAGGATTGTGAAAATTTGGTAAAGGATTGCGAGGATTAGATACATGATAACGATGACTGGACGAAGAAATGCTAGGAATGGTTGAAGCACTGTGATGACTGGGTGAAAGATTGTTAGGACTGAATGAATGATTCTAAGAAATGGATGAAGGATTGCGAGCTTAAGGTAAAGGATTGTGAAATATGGATAAAGGATTTCAGGACTGAGTAAATGATTGCATGGTAGAATCATTGCACGATTATTTGTAGATTGAAATTTATTATAACTACACTTAGATACCAAAGTCTACATGAACAAAATTTTGGTTATGACACGAATGTATGCAAGCGGGACATGAATCAGTAGGGTAGATTTGAGGAAGCCGTGTTGCGTAGTGGGGGGGGGGGGGAAATCAGGAAAAGGATGGGAATAAAGGGGGAAATCAGGAAAAGAATGGGAATAAAGGGGGAAATCAGGAAAAGAATGGGAATAAAGGGGGAAATCAGGAAAAGAATGGGAATAAAGGGGGAAATCAGGAAAAGAATGGGAATAAAGGGGGAAATCAGGAAAAGAATGGCAGTAAAGAGGGAAATCGGGAAAAGAATGGGAATAAACGGGGAAATCATGAAAAGAATTGGAATAAAGGGGGAAATCGGGAAAAGAATGGGAATACAGGGGAAAGAAGAGAATGGGAATAAAGGGGGAAATAAAGAAAAGAGTGGGAATAAAGGGGGAAATCAGGAAAAGAATGGCAGTAAAGAGGGAAATCGGGAAAAGAATGGGAATAAAGTGGGAGATTAGGAAAAGAATGGCAGTAAAGAGGGAAATCAGGAAAAGAATGGGAATAAAGGGGAAAATGTTGGAGAAAAGATGAGAGCTGAGCGTCTGCGAAGAAGCGCACAAAATACAAATGTTAACAATAATGGTCCTGAAATTCCATGCTAAAATTGGGGAAAACTTTTCTTACCGCCGGCGGGTATGGCTAGTCACACTCGCCATCGCCATGGGCTGTGAGTCGAATTTCATTCACTTGACTATTGTGCTGGTCAACTTTCCTGAAGGTTACGGGTGTGTCCCGCTCTGTTGTTTGGTTTCTGTGATGTCTTGCATTTACGTTTCATTCTGAGAAAGAGAATGCCTGTGACATAGGTTGCAGCACTCTGTAGGGGGTTGTGTTAGAGCCATTTTTTTTAATTATGTCATTTGGGAGTCAGTTTATATTTGTGTATGCTTTGTTTTTGTTTCTTGTCGTTTATTCAGTCAGTAGCATGTCCTTTGCAGAACCTTGCACCCATAATTATTTCTATATTAGCATGAGTTTTTAACACGAGCTCTGTAAATTCGCTCTCTTGAAGTTTGTGTTAACGAGTTTAGATTAATTTACAATACAAATGAGTAGGGATATTGAATTTGTTTGCTTGATTTCGATTTCTAGATTCAACCAGGCTAAAGTGTGTTGGTTAGATTTAAGTTAGTCTCCCCAAACAAAGTAGGTCACATTTCATTCACAAGTTTGTTGTGCTGGTCTACTTTCGTGCAAGTTACGGCTGTGCCGCTCTGTTGTTTGCTTTCTGGGTTGCTTTGAATTTACTTTTTTATTCCGATAAGGGTAATACCTGTGACATAGGTTGCAGCTCTCTTTAAAAAGGGGGAGGGGGGTGTTAGACCCAGTTTGTCCATGTTTTAGGAGAGTTAAATGCGCTGGCGTGCTGAAATATGCAACAGGCGATATCTACAGCATTACGAAACACCCCCTCTCCCCTCCCCGGTAACCTTGTGGCAAGGTGACACGTTTACAAAATACCAATCAGAAGTGAGCTAGTGTGTGTATGGACCGTCCATGGGAAGACTAACTTTAGTTTTACCAGTGGGTTTTAGGAAATGTCGTGAGAAGTAAAGACGACCGGCTTGATGTTGACCGCATCACTGGTGGATTACTGGATGGTGTAAAAAATTTAAATCTAGAAATGATACATATCGCGAGTCTGCCCGCGTCTTGTTGGTGCGCGAGATTTCATGAGTTTTTTCAATGCTCTAAGCCTTCTATAATTCGCGTCGTGAGCGGCCAGCAGCACGTTCTACTTTTAACGTTGTGGTTAACCCGGAAAGAGACCCGCGTACTGTCGTGTTGGGACTGGAACGATTTTCTTTAGATAACATTAGTAGTAAGTAGTGTTTGTTGACGTAAGCGTTGTATACCCTCCAGACAAGTCAACTTGTAGTTTTGGAAACATGTTGTTTGGCTTGAAAACTCAACTTCTGCGCCGCAATTTACGGTAAGTCTCTTCTCTCTACTTTCAGCATTCGCAGACAGAGCAGTTGGAAATTAGCCAGTGGTCGAGCTAGTAACATCAACAGTGAGGGGACCATCGTGCCGCATGAGAACGGGTTTGCTAACGGTAGGAGGTGTTTGTTATCTGTAGGTCGATGCTGATCGTTACCACCACATAATATTTAAAAATATCCTCATAATCAATCACTCCATTATCAGTCATCGTATCATCAATTAGCGCATTATCAACCGCATCATCATCATCAACCACCTCATCATTAATAAGTTTATCATTAATAACCTCATCGTCGATCACTTTATTATCAATCATCCCATCATCAGTCACCTCATTATCAACTTTCTCATCATCAGTCACCTCATCATCAACCATCTCACCATCAATCCTTTCATCATCAACCACGTCATCAATCTCATCATCGACCACCTAATTCTCAACCACCTCATCATCATGCACTTCATCATCGACCACCTCATTATCTACCATCTCATCATCTATCATTTCATCATCAATATCCTCTTCATCACTTTGCAGGTCACGCTGGTGGTCACCTGCCCCACGATCGAACTCCAATCTTGGGGTCCACGAACGACTTGTCCAGAAGCCAGGAGGAAGAGGAAGAACTTCACTACCCACAACAGCCGGTCAACCGACGGTCCAGATGCAGCTTGTTTCGCGTGCTGGTCAAAGGATTCGGCTGGGAGGTCTTCTTGTCCTACCTGTTGAAGCTTGCAGCTGATCTCCTGCAGCTTGCTGGGCCATTTCTGCTCAAGTAAGAGTTGCGATCGGGATGTTGTGTGTTGGGATTGTGCTGTTGGTATTAATGCTGGTGTTGTTTGCCGGATAATGCTGATGGTGTCAATTGTTTTTGCTAATGTTGGTGTTGTAATGTTGGTGGTGTTGTTGCCGCTAATGTTGGTGTTGTAATGTTGGTGGTGTTGCTGCCGCTAATGTTGGTGTTGTAATGTTGGTGGTGTTGTTGCCGCTAATGTTGGTGTTGTAATATTGGTGGTGTTGTTGCCGCTAATGTTGGTGTTGTAATGTTGGTGGTGTTGTTGCCGCTAATGTTGGTGTTGTAATGTTGGTGGTGTTGTTGCCGCTAATGTTGGTGTTGTAATGTTGGTGGTGTTGTTGCCGCTAATGTTGGTGTTGTAATGTTGGTGGTGTTGTTGCCGCTAATGTTGGTGTTGTAATGTTGGTGGTGTTGCTGCCACTAATGTTGGTGTTGTAACGTTGGTGGTGTTGTTGCCGCTAATGTTGGTGTTGTAATGTTGGTGGTGTTGCTGCCGCTAATGTTGGCTACATTGTTTTATTCTCTTTCTTCATCGTCCATAACTGCTGGACTGAATTCCATCTATGATATTGAACTGACGGCACCGGATAAAACGGAATGGAGGAATAGAGTTCGATTCCTGTGTGGCATATAACTGCTCTACAGGATAATAAATGAACAATATATCTCGCCATTAACATGTGGGATGCAATTTTTAGCTATTTAGAAGCCCCTCCCTGGCTTTTGCCGGGGGCCCTAAATATAGACGGGCCATAAATATGGCCTAACGGCTGAACGGGCTTTCCGGGACCTCTCCACAGGTGATCCTCATCCGCATGGTGGCACTTGGTGTCACCGGGGGTTTATCGCTTAGATGATGTCCTGGTGGGGTACAATTACCTACTCTTCTACCATGAATGAATATATTAACGAACATCAAGTTAGAACACAGTGTTTTGTGATTGCTAATGTTGCCTGTGTGTCCTCAAATAAAAATGAAAAGTTGCAGTAATTAAAGTGTTGACACGCATTTTCTGAAAGTGCTGAAAATGTTTTTCCCTATATGTTCCTCTTTTTTTTTTTTTTTAGATAACTTAGTTTAAACCTCTCGGCCTAGAATTCACGCTGAGGCTTGAATGAGTTGCGGTTGGATTGTATTTTCCAAGTGGGATTCAAGTATAAAAGTGATCAGGTATATGGGAAGAACATCACGTATTTTTACAGACCAATCGGCACTGGGTGGGTAATACGGTCAGCATTATGCCGGCCTTCTTTACTTCACCAGGACAACCATCCTGGTACCCATTTAAGGCTGGGTCGACCTGCGACACCCCATATCACGATGAAAATCCCCAAAAAATTTGGCTTAAATACTAATCGAAACGTAAAATTCTTAACTGAAATGACGAAGCTGGTTTCGATGTTCAGCAAAATGATATGTATCTAGGTTAGTTGCGTATCCTTTACAGGACGTTGCAGAACCAACACCAACAGCCCCTGGCTGCTGTGTAGTTTTGCTAGGCAAATTTACGTCCAGCGGTTTGCCATTGCTTTCTGAAAATATGTATCTACTGTACATTTATATTGTTCTTTTTTTCCCACAGAAGCCTAATCATTTACGCAGAGAACAAAGAAAGTCAGCCAATC